GGCCTGCGCCGGGCAGCGAGCGCGGCCTCCGCCCCGGGGCAGAGCCGGCGCCTCGGTGCTCGGGCGGGCGGCGGTGCATGGGTCCCGCGGCCCCGCCGGGCGGCACCGGCCGTTGCCCCACTGGCCGCCGTCCCTGAGCAAGGGGGGCCGCGCCCGCCTCTCGGTGCGGTGGGCGGAGGCTGGGCCGGGCCGGGCCGGGCCGAGTCGGGGGCTGGCGCCTTCCCCGGGAGCCTTCCCGGTCTGTGCGCGCTGCGGGGTCCCGCCTGGCCCGCGACTGTGGTCTGGCTCCGCGTGTCGTGGGAAGGCCTGAAACTCGCCCGGAGCTCCCCGCGTTCTGCCGGCGCCCGCCTCTGGCAGAGGGAGGGCCGGGGAGGAAGGCAGATTGTCCCCGCCACCCTTTATCCATCGTGTTTTGTGCGCTTCTAGCGATAGGTAGCGTTTAGTTGGCTTACTTAGCGCTCTCGCTTTCTGGAGCTTTAGGACGCTGTCTTTTAACCCGGAGAGCTAAATAGCTACATTTCAACAAATGATAACTTTGGGTTTTTTGGATCCGATGGTGTTTGCTTAGCCACACTTCCAGGGAAGTAGATACATCTGCCTCTCAGAATTTTTCGGGTGTTGTAGACGCCATGTGTTACTAACCTCATTGCAGTTGCTCTCACAGGGAAAAGGAAAGCTTTACATGTATGAGGTTATAAGCACCCTGATGGATGACTGTATAACCTGTGAGAAGCTGCACTGGCTGAATCCATGAGATGGCTGCTTTTGGTCTTGTATCTCATTTCTGGTGTTGTTTAAAATACCCGTGTAGCTTGTTTCGTTCTCAGCAAAGTGATCACTCTAGCCTTGGAGATAGGCAAGTCATAATTTGTCCTACGTAATAAAGGAAAACTAGTGTAATTACTAACTATTTTAATGGTAGCTGAGACTGACTTATTCAGCTGCTTTAACATCTAGAATGAATGTACTGCATTTTTATGCCTAATTATGTCCCTGGAAGTGCAGTTCTAATGTCTTGGTTGTATTCTGGTTCCAGAAATTAGCACCCAGGAATCCTTGCATCACATGCTTTCTGTCTCAGGTCATAGGACCATAGAGCAGTTTATCTGGAGTTTCCTGGTTTGCATTTAGCTTAAGTGTCAGTAAAAATATTTTTCTTGCATAATGCATTTGTTCTGACAGTGAGATGATATCAGGAATATGTAGTATAGTAAAGTTACATCTCTGGATTCCTTTACGTAGCAGACTGACAGAATAAAAGTGGTAGCAGATATCACAGTTGAACTGTCACTGTTAGATCTTCTGCCTAGTGTATGTGTGAGAGTGAGTGAGCGCACATGCCTTCCAGAACTTCTGTATACCTGGTTGTTAGGAGCTAGATAGCTTGTTATTATTGATGTTAAGTTGGTGATGCTTTTTAAAGCCAATGATCCTATGAAGTTGAGGAGGGTGAAGATGCACGAAGGCAGATTCGGACCTTAAACTGGTATAGATGTTACAAAACTTTGTTGCATTGGACTGTAGCTTAAAATTTTCAGAGCTGTACAGAAAATGAAACTCCCTGGTGGAAACATCTACTGTCTGAGTGCAGCCCAGAAGTGTGGCACAGCAGAGGCAACTCAGGCCTTATTTGCAAGGGGAAGCAGTCCATTAACATCTGTTTGCTTTGTTAAAAATCCTACTACATATATAACCCTACTAGGTATCTAAAAGTTCTTCTGGCCCTGTAGTTTTATGAAGATCCAGGAAATGATATTAGAGAATGCTGTGTTTTGAGCAGCCAGAGGGTTTAGGTGCAGATTGGTCTTAATTTTGTAGTCCATTGTAGACATCAGCTCAGTGTAGTGTAAGGATACCTGAACTAACTTTTATCAGTGCAGAGTGACTGTGTGCTTTGTAGACATGCCTGTGTTTATTCAGACTAATGAAGTAGGATTTATTTGTGACCTCTGTTAGAATCCCCAGCATTTGCCACTGTCACAGCAGTTTAGAGTAATGTTGGCTACTGTCGTAAGAGTTGCATTTGGACTATGAAGCTTTGATTCTTGATTATTATTTTTTTTTGCCTGTGTTCTTTTGCTTGCTCATTTTCTGTAAGTTGGGATTTTGACTGTGTAGGCATTTGAAATAAGGAATAGATATATGGAGCTGGATGTGAGAGAGAACTGTGTGGTCTATGGAAGAGAAAACTCCATATGGGAATTTGGCTCTGAGAGCAGAAACAGGGTAGAAATTTATAACCATTTCTACACAGGAAAAGCAAAGGGATTGGTGTATTTGGGCTGAGGGCTACAGTCCCTTCAGTAGAGGGCCTGCAACTTTGTAGAGTTTTTCAGTGCTTAAATGGTGTCAGTGCCTTGACTAATCAAACATACTGAATAGAGAAAAGGATTGAAGAAATTTCTGAAATGTCTAGCTCAGAAAGGCAAAACACAGAATAGCCTGGTTATCAGGCCAGTTAGTTTATATCATGATTTGTTAAAGCATGGGTGACCTACGACTCCTGCTTAGTTTTTGTTGAAGCCCTCGATGAACAAAGAATTTCAGACATAGACCTCCTTCTCAGGTTGTGGAACTCTTGTATTAGTTACCCGAGAGCTGTTAGCATGTTATGACTAGGACTTAGGTTTGCAGAAGCCTGGCTTGACCTAACTGGATGGAGTGGACCTTCAGAGCAGTGCTCTGTTCAAGGCCAGCTACATTGTTTTAAAGCTGAAAAAAACAATCTCCTGTGTCCAGAAGTTGTCCTTGTGTGCTAACTTCAGTTTAGCATGGTACTACTGAGGGCACGTGCTGTCTCTTGTAGACTCAAGACATACTTTGTGGTGGTTCGGGATGGAGGATGTCTTTTTCTTTGCAATGAGAAGAGTGATTTGGGGTGGGTAGGCTGGTTCCTTCTTAGAAATTATTACACCCAATCTAAGCATAATCTTATGTTTGCTTAATCATGTGAGAAGATACGGAGTTTTATATAACTCTGAAGAGTATTGCAAAGCTTCTTCATTGAAATTAATCCTGATCTTGAAAATGGTGTTCATGTTCTTGTTCCCAAAGCTGTGGACTCTTGCTGATACAGGCAGCTTTCCTTCTGTTTCAGCAGACTGTGGAGTTTACAAGAGGAAGCCAGCAGACAGTGTAACCGGTTGTGCGTATTATTTGATTACTGTGCATTACAAGAGCATGATTCATACATGTGTCTAAGCATTGGAGGGAAGCCCTCTGACAGAACTTTTTTAAAATTGTTCTAGCGCGGTGTGTGTCAACCAAAGACGGGCTTCAGCAGTTTGAAAGCCTCAGGCTTCAGTGTCCCATATATGTGGACACTTGTGATGCTGTGCTTGAAACACCCATACGTGCAGTTTACTGCCTTTCAATAGAGCCTTTATGAAACATGTAAGTTCCAGAAAATTGGAAGAATATCACAAGTATATCATGTGTAGGAGAATGAGAAGTGTGAAGAAAAGACCGCTTCCTGTGGGGAGGGAAACTGCCAAACTTGCAGGGTGTACCAAAACCAGAAGTTGGAGAACTGCTCCTTTGATGAAGTGGTGGTGGTATTTTCATGAGTGGGGGTATTAATGATGCAGAATTTTAACTATCTGAGGACATTCTTCAATTGCTACATAAGAAAAACTGCAGAAAGAGTCTCATTAAGTGTCTAAAATTGTTTGATGTATTAAATATATACTGTGATGTGAAAATATTTAACAAAACTGACCAATAGCTGTGATGTCAAACTTGAATCTTAAGTGAAAAATGTAAGAAGCATTCCTGTGTTGGAAAACTGAAGAGCTTATGTGTTAAATATCTCAGGTCTGCAGATGATGAATAGGTTAAAAGTGAGTCTTGGGGTTAGTAACTTCTTCACAGTCAGACTAGGTGAATTAAGCTTATTCGCTGGCTAAAGAACTCGTTAACAGCTTTTAATCACTTGGTCTCTGAGGTTCAGTTTCCCACTGTGCGGGGTGGGAAAGGATGAGACCGTTGCTACTTCATAGTGTTGAGAGCTGATACAGGTCTTGCTGTATCACTGGCCCCTTCTAGGTTTCTCCCTAGTCCAGAGCGTTCTTGTCAAGAGACTGTTTGTAAATCTTGCTTTTTAATAAATCTGGAAATTAATGTGTCTCACAAATGGAGGTACAAAGTGTAACTGACATGTAATCAGGCTCTGTGGTATAGGTGTGCTTAAACTTTTTTCTGATGCTGAGTGGGTGAGTGATTGCTTTGCATAGTCTTACTTAAAATTTGAGTCTGTTATGATAATAAAATGGAGAAGTAGCTGGTACCTAGTCTGTCAAAGATTCATAGCTTTGATATATTTTCAGCTGAACTAATACATAGATGGCAGGAAACTTGGACTCTCAAAGGAAAAGTAGCAGAAGCTCTAAACTGTCAAGCAGTGTTCTAATCTCTGTTTCTTCTCTTGTAATTGGTCACATCAGTTATGCCTTGGGACAAGATCTGTGGTGTTTTTAAAGAAGCCTATGTAATTGCTGGTTTGAGTCAGTTAACTTGTAGTACATTGTTACAGATCTAGAAAAAATCCGTAGTTGAGACTGAAGGCAAGGAACAGCTTGCTTAACTGAAGGAATGTCGAGAGAAACTTAAAGTTGTTATAAATATTAAATGGTAGGTGATTATTGTGCTGCTAAGGAACTCCTGACTCTTACAGATGATTTTCGATCCCACTATGAGCAAGAAGAAGAAGAAAAAGAAGAAGCCCTTTATGCTGGATGAGGAAGGAGGGGATACACAAGCGGAAGAGACTCAGCAATCAGAAACAAAAGAAGTTGAACCAGAGCCAACAGAAGACAAAGATGTTGAAGCAGATGAAGAAGACAGCAGGAAGAAAGGTAAAGTGAATCCATGTAGATAAACTCTCAAAGGTAGTCCTTCTGTATTCTGAGACTACAAGCCCCAAGAATTTGGCATCACAGTGTGTAATGCTGGGGCCCAGGTTTGTTAAGAGGTTTGTGAGTAATACTCTGCTGCTTATTTGGAGGGCATATTTCTCTCCTGCTTGAAATCATGTTCACAGACATCCAGCAAGTTACCAGTGGCTTATGTAAATTCCACTTTCCAGACTCAGAGTCTTTTGTATGAGACAATGAAAAGAGAATCCCTAAAACAGTTAGCAGGAAGTTCTATGTCTTCCACATGCGGTTGTTGCAATAATTACACAATTATGGCTGGTTTTCATTTGAACAATTAAGCAATAGTGTGACAATAGAAATATGGTTAAAAGGCTTTCTAGTTTTTTGACAACTGTGAATGTGATAACTAGAGTGTTCTTTGGAATCTTTCAGGAAGTAAGCTTGTGATTGTGTATATAACCTTGCTTTTTAAATTGAGGCCAGTGTCATTTCAAGATGACCTGATTCGGGGAATGCTGTTAACTTAAATCCAGTTTGTTCATAAAATTGGCTCCTGCAGTAGACCAAAGAAACGATACATTCCTCCTACAATTTTCTTTTAATTTTTTTCAAGCATCTCTACTATAATGACAGAAGTGGCTAATTTATCTTGTACAGCAGAAAGAGTTAAGCACTTAAATAAGTAAATGCAGTTAGAAGATGCAGAAACTGTAGAATAGTACTGAGGTATTTGGGGGTAGAGGGGAATGACCTCTTTAAAACCTGAAGGATGTCTGTAGGGGCTACAGATCATTGCTTATGTCTTGCTGTAATGTTTTGAAGATTTGGATGTAAATCAGAAACCTTTATGTCTAAACTGTTTCTACAGTTGTTATACTTCTTTTGGCAATCCTTTGTTTTTTAGATGCAACAGATGACCTGGATGATTTAAACTTCTTCAATCAAAAGAAAAAGAAGAAAAAAACAAAAAAGATATTTGATATAGATGAAGCAGAAGAAGGTGTAAAGGTTTGTTTACGTAATTAGGCCATCTAGTCTATGGCTGAAAACTTTCTTGCTTTCCCTTCTGGGGATTGGCAGTGCAGGAGTAGTTTTGAGTCTGTCATTGTGTCTTAGTGCAGTTAATAATGAAACTTAAGTTTCACTGTATCTTTCATATATAGTAGGTTCTGCTGAACATGTTGCTCCTGCAGGGCTTTTTGCCCCGAAGTGAAAAAAATCTAACTGATCTGCACAATGAGCAAGTAATTCTGCAATCTGTAGTAAGGGTTGGCTAGCATCAAGATTAATTGTCTTTTTGGGTGAGAGAAGTAAATGGATGTCAGAAGCCATGCACAGAATAGTCCTCGAAAGGCCAGCCCTTCAAATAAAGGGTATATATCTGCTAAGAAATCTGTTTTTACTCTGGTGTTTTCTTTAGAAATGATTGGCTACTGTTCTGTGTTCCAGAAAGTGTACGAGATGTTTTTACTCAAGTTTTATTCCGAGTCATGTTTTTGTATCACGTGTCAGTGTAACTGGCAAGCCCAGAGAGCGAGAGGACAGAGAAATGTTACGTTGTGTGTAAACCTCTTCTTTAGATTCTGCCTCTTGGGGAAGAAAATGTCCCTCTGATCTGCCGCAGACAGGCAAAATGCTTGCTCTACACGTGCAGAATTGTGATAATAAATTGGGCTGGCTGCAGGTAGCACAATTTTGCCTTACCTTATTGTCTGGCATGTAGGGTGGTTTGTTCCCTTATGCCCTAAAATGGCTGATGCCTTTAGGTAAGTGTAGCGTGATCTTGTTCTTGACCAGCCAGAAATTAGACCAGGAGATTTTTGCGTGCATTGATTACCTAGTAGGAAATTAACTATTCCAAAGGAAATAGTATAAACTAAGTTTTCATACAAGACTGCACTCACTGTTAGATGCATGTACATCATTGTATCTGAGCTTGGCATATAAAAATCTAGCCCTACTTAATGACAGTAGTGCAGCACTCTCTTCAACATACTTTAGTTCCATTCTTATCTGTTACATTCCAGGATTGTGGTGGATATTACTAGTATTCATCTAGTATAGTGTGCTACTATTTCTAATGCTGTACAGTGGGGATTTGTGTTTAATACTGTAAACTATGGTCTTATTATTTCTTTGCAGGACTTGAAAATTGAGGGAGATGTGCCAGAGGCAGTAGAACCTGAAGATGACCTTGATATCATGCTGGGCAATAAAAAGAAGAAAAAGAAGAATGTGAAGTTTCCGGATGAGGATGAGATAATGGAGAAGGATGAAGGTAAAAGCATAAGCTAGCTCAATGAGATGTTAAAAGTGAAATGTAGCCCATGTTGTAGGTGAATAAGTTCTGTTCAAGTGCCTTTTTTGTTTCAAAAGTCCTTTTGTTACCACTACATTGTTTATCAGAAAAATGTTCTCTAAAAGCACTATAAATTTGCTGCAAGTGCTGCTGTCCCTTGTAGGCAGGCAAACAGAAGACTTGTGTTCACATTTTAGTGGAATCTTCTTTGATGCACCTTTTTAGAAATGGTGTAAGCATGAAGTTAAAGAATATTTCTGTTCTTAATGAATCCCAAATAACTTTCTTTACAGCTTTTGAAGATGAAGATAGCAAAAAAGATGATGGAATTTCTTTTAGCCTTCAGTCGGGACCTGCGTGGGCAGGCTCGGAAAGGGACTACACGTATGATGAGGTAATGTTCAAAAGACTTAAATTTTTTCCATGTTGAGGTACATCAGCAGAATAGGGCCTTATGCTCATATGTCCTATTTCTAACTTAAAATTAAAGGACTTGTAGTCAGAAGCTCGTGAACAGAAAAATAACAGAAAGCACATCTTTTATCACAGTTAACTTTCATATAGGGCAATATTAGTGATAGTTAAAATACCTCTGCAAATAGACTGAGGTATTGTAGATTATGAAGTAAACCCTTGGGGAAACAGCTTTTTTATTTTGCATTTATCAGAACTTTTTTAAGTGTGTGTTCAAAAGCATATGGGGAAATCCTAATGGGCAAAGATGGTCTATATTCACTGTGAATGCTGTTTCAAGTTTTTTTAGAAATGAGGTACTTTATTTGAGAAATGCAAGATATTCATATTGATGTGAATCCCTGTTTTTGCAGTTGCTCAATAGAGTATTTAACATCATGCGGGAAAAAAATCCAGATATGGTAGCTGGAGAAAAACGAAAATTTGTCATGAAGCCTCCACAGGTTGTACGAGTAGGGACCAAGAAAACATCTTTTGTCAACTTTACAGATATCTGCAAATTGTAAGTTTCCTCTTAAGATTTCCCAGGAATAGCGGATGAATGTACTTTTCTGTGCTGTTGGCTGTGTTGAATGCGTGTTTTCTGGCAAAAGACTGCGGCAAACCAGAAGTAAACTGAAAGCTATTTCAATCATACTGTTCGTTTCCTCTACCTCTCTCTGTAAGAAGGTATTTATGAAGATGATTTGAGGTAATTTCTTATTTTATACTTAAATTATGAAAATTGTAGGCTTGCTGCATGGGCCTCATGGACTGAAACTAAACCTATTGATTTTGTGAGTTTACTGGCTTCTATAAAGTCTGTAGCTGGGTCACCAGTGATACTTATTTGCAAGTCTTGGGTGGGTGGTGGTGGTGGGGAAAGTGTTTTCCAATTTGAGCTGGCTACACATACTATTCTCTTGGTAAATGGTATGGAGTTCAGTAATTTTTTTTTTCCAGTGCTTTCTGTCTTAATTATTTCTTGTGAAGGCAGTTCTATTCTTTGTGGGCACTTCTGGGAATGCATATCTGATTTGTTTCATAAGTGTGCCAGAAAACAGTCCTGATGAAATCATACTGAGGATTTGGGTAGTGAATACTAAAGTGAATTTTTAATGGTAGCGAGTAACACTTTTCTTTCAGGGAGTGGCAGGGGGATGGGAGAATAAGAATGGAAAATCTCAAATAGAGAACTTATTTTCAATAGTTACTGTAATTGTGAATTTGGTTCGGGGAGGGGGTTTGTGGACTGTTAAGCTTTCTTGTATCCTCAGTCATTGTCTGCCTATGCTCTTTGGTGCAGACCCTCTTGCACTGCCCCCTTTCAAACTTTGTAATCTAAGATTGTTTTGGCCTGACAGTCCTCTATAAATATCAAATTTCTCTGAAGGGGGGAGGTTAAACATATCCTTACTCTATTTTTAGATTACATCGTCAGCCAAAACATCTTCTGGCATTTTTGTTGGCAGAATTGGGTACAAGGTAAGGCTACTGGGCTGTGTATGTGCTTATGCATGTAGGAAGCAATGGCAACATAGTTGACGTTGTCTGATCAAAAAGAAAATTCTTGGGTTTAGGTCTGTATATATGTGCTTGAACATTAGGCTTTTCTTCCCTGCACTTAGATTCTGTGCTGAGTTATTGAAGAGACACCATCTTAGGGAAGAGGTACAGAGGCAAACTATAAGTCCCAGGGAACAGTTTGGATAAGGGTTTGGATTCCCTATTTGGAGCCTTTCTTAAAGATGCTCTGACAGCAGCGCTGTCTGTCACAATTGGTGAGGATGGCTCTGTGGCTCTTACCAGCTTAAGGCAGATGATAGCTAGGGAAGAGAGAATGCCCGACTGCCTAATTGCAAGTCTTGTGGGCCTGTAGCTGGTTATTCTGTCTAATGCTGCAGTTAAATCCACCTGTCAGCATAAAACCAGTGTTGATTTTGTATGTCTCTTATCAAAGATCTCATGCTGTGGTAGTGTACTTTCTGGTTGTCTATTCATTTCTCTGCTGTAGACTACAATGTTATTATACCTAGATACAGAGAATAAAGGAATCTAATTGCAAGGTGTGTGTGACAAATGCCCATATGATTGGGCTTCGGCGTCTCCTCAGCTCCAGGTGACTTAAACAAAAACTTAGAAACTATAATGTGAAAAAAACATTCAACTTACTACATCAGAATGGCTAGAAAAGGATCTTATTAGTCATATTGCACCTTACTAGGGAGTTGTCTTGGTCACTTCTGTGAGATAAGCAGGTGTCAATTCTCAATTCCGTAAAGTTCTTCTGATTGGGTAGCTTAACTATGAGGCTGATCTCTGCTGGAGTTTGCTTTTACTGCAGTGAGTTATGCTTGGGCAAAACTTCCTGTAGGTTTTCAAGTGTCTTTAGAATTTTGCATTTTTTCCCCCCAAAGTAATTCTGGCTTACTCTTATCTTGAAGAATGCATCATTATCTTGCTTCATGTTCCTGACTTGTTTTAACACTTGACAACTTCTGCAAATCAAATACTGAATTAATTTTTCTTTTAAATTAGTGGCTCAATAGATGGTAACAACCAACTTGTAATCAAAGGAAGATTCCAGCAAAAACAGATAGAAAATGTCCTGAGAAGATATATCAGTAAGTATAACTCCCTTTTCCACTACAGATTTCTCTCAGACCCCTTTTGATGATCAGTGGCCCATGTATGGCCCACATGTGTATGCATGCTGTGGACATTCTGTGCTAAGAAGCTACAACTTTGCTGCAGCTTTATAATGGAATAATGCAAGTTCTGCCATGGTGTAATAAGCATATAGGTCGTACTCTGTCCTGGCACTAAAATGTGCCAAGGAAAACAGTAAGAGCATTTGGGAATTGCTTGTTTTCATCTGACTTTTTATTTCTTGGCTTTGATGAGGACTGTGGAAAATAACAGTAATTATTAATTTTAAAGTCTGTTGTATGTGTTAATTAACAAATACAGTGTGTGTGCTGCTGGTCAAAGGACTCACAGATAATATGTAACAAAAAAATACTGCTTTAGTTGTAGCAACTCTGTTTGCTGACATCTGGGAATGCTGTTTCAGCAGAGGAAGTTACAAAATGCCAGTGGGAAGTCTTAAGTGGTTGTTACTATTTTTAAAACATCAGTGTCTGTATATAATGTACCATATGAAACTTAGTCTTTATTAACCTAGGAACTAGGGGTAATTTTTAGGTTGCCTCAATGTCTGTGGTTTTCATAGTAAGCCACTTCGAAGTTAGTAGATGCATTTGAACAGCCTTTCAAGACAACTGTTAAACTAAAGGCTGAGGAAGTGGTCCCTTGTCTGCTGATAGTGCATTATCTTCTAACTGTAACTTAATTCCTTTTCTGCAGAGGAGTATGTCACCTGTCATACGTGTCGGTCACCAGACACAATCCTACAGAAGGACACCAGATTATATTTCCTGCAGTGTGAGACCTGCCACTCTCGCTGCTCTGTCGCCAGCATCAAAACTGGTTTCCAGGCTGTCACAGGCAAGAGAGCGCAGCTCCGTGCCAAAGCTAACTAGTTTGCTAATCAACACTGGATTTTGCAAAGTGTTCTGGGGAGATATGACTGGACAGGTTTACAATCGGAATGGATTTACCATTGTATTAAAACAAGATTGTAAAAACGACAAGAAATTTGGCTTTTGATTGATTGGTCTGTGAAATCCTTGCAAGATGCAGATCCTCAAGCTGTTCACATACATTTGCTCATTGAATATATTTTACCAACTGTAAGGAACGTGATGGGAAAGGAGGTGCTTTTTAATCCATTCAGACTTCTGTAAAACACAAGATAAATTAAAGATACTATAACAGTGAGTGTCTTCGATTTGGATTTTTCCTTCAGTTTCCTCTTTTTAAACAGCTCTTGGGAATGGTTGGTGTGTTGTTCTGCAGATCATGTCACTGAACTATGTCCAAGACCCAGAATAAAGTTTTAAGATAAAGGTTATTTTGCTTTTTACATAACAAGCTTATTTTTAGTTAGGCTATCATTAAACAGAGAAACCAGTCACAAAAAGTCACAGGGATGATACACCAACATGAGAACTGCTCATGCTCTTATAGCCACATTAATATGGGAATGCATTTTGCACAGAAAGTGACATCAGGACATGTTGATACTGCTTAATTAGGCAGAACGTAGCTTTGAGATAGTTCAGACACCATATTGATGCTGAATCTTAACATAGAATTGATAAATTGTACTGTAAGGTTTCATAGAGTCATAATACTAAATTTTGCAATTTCTAATAGAGAAATGTTTATATTTCTTAAGTCCTGCACTCTTCACCACTTTAAAAAGAATCTAACTAAATGCAGCAAAAAAAAAAGGATACAGGTAACATCATTATATGATGGCTGCAACCCACTGTCTTATATAAATCTTGAGTTTACAGAAGATACTGCCAAGTAGTTTGAGTTCCAAATTAACACGTTATGCTTCTCAATCATAACATGCACTTCTTTCTGCTAGCAGTCAGTATCAGTAATCTCTATGGGACATGCATAGTGCTGTCCTAACTAGTTTTTCTAGTGCTGTAGAATTTTGTTACAGCTGCCAAGTACAAAGATGCAAATGGGGAGCGAAGTCCCTCTTGAGGGACTCTGTAAGGGGGGGGACAGTTTTCATTTAATCGCCAAAATGGCACAGGGACAGGATAAGGTGTAGTAGCTCAAGACCCTGGGCATCCATCCCTGCAGGTAAGCAGAGTAGCCTCCTCCCCAGAGAAAATGGTGGTCATTCTGAATGCAATTCGTCAAATACCAGAAACTGAAGGGTTTCTACCAAGTTTTAATCTTTCTATGTATGTTAATACAGACAGTGCTGGGAAGTCACTTACTTGCTATTTGAAAACTTGACAGCACTGTAAGGCAAAACCCAAGGTTTTATGGTTGGTTTTTTAAAAGTGTTTTGAATTTCAAGTGAGCTATAACAAATGTTGGATGTATCTTTAAGTGAATAAAGCCAGGATCAGTGCCTCTTGTAACATTATTGTTGTATTCTTGTTTTTTTTTCTCTAGCAAATAGGCATTGTCCTGTTGGAAGTAAAACTTTTTGGAGAAGTGCTAGCTGACTTTGTTTCAGTGACTTGCTTTTGGGACACACTGAAATAGCTGAAGAACAATGATACTTTCTATTTTTAAATGCTTTTTCCTGGGTCAAATACCTTTAACATACTTTAAAAAAAAAAACCAACCAAACCAACAGTATGGCCTTGAGCTGCTGCTGTATTTTAGTGCATTATATACAAAATCTGACTTCAGTGTATTTGGACCAGAAAGATCAAATTAAAAAAAAAAAAAAATTGTTCAAACCCATCATCTGTGAGCTCTCCTGGCTCACGGGAGAGCTTTATAGGTGTGTTTTGAGTCTGTGCATGAAATCCTGAAGGCATTGGTTTTTATGACTAATATTTGAGTGAAACATCTTGAGCTGTAGACTCTAATTGGAAAAACCTCACTGATGTATGAAGTGTCTTCTCTTTCTAGGAGCAGATAGTAGTTGGTTTGTTGTTTGTTTGGTTTTTTTATAAACAAACACCTTTTCCCAGTGTACATTCAAAAAGGAGTACAGTCTGCAAGTACTGTGTGAACATAAATGCCTCTTGCAGCTTGTAAGGCTGATTTAAGTTGAAGTGCATTCATGTGTTCAGAGGCAAAAAGGTAGAGTTTTGTACTTAGGCTGAATGTAAGCAAGTAGCTTAAGGATGGAGCTCTTAACAGGATAAGGTGGTAGATTTGTTTGCCTTGGGTCTGCATGTAGGCATGTATTTGAAGGCAGACAGAACTGTGTTTCTCCATGCTTTTTTCTCTGTGATCTGAAAATTGGCTGTATGGTGCTCAGAGAGATGTGGGAGCCAGATTTTTTTAGGTGCTGAGTGACTGCAGAGCAGAATGGAATACGGGTTTGAATGGGTTGGGGAGGAGCCTGGGAGCTAACAAAGAGCACAGTGATGCAGCTGGGTTGCTCCTCTGCAGAGCTCCTGCCGTGCCCAGAGTTCTCTTACACCTTATCTAAGTAATCTAAGCTGTTGCAGGTCTGCTCCTTTCCAGCAGTAAAGATGCAACACGTCTTTCAGCCCAGAACATGCAAAAGAAAGTCTTTTGAGACTTGTCACTGGAGGTCCTAGGAGAACTACAGAAGAAGTTGTGTTGCTGTCAGTCAGCCTGAAATTTACTGATACCCTTGTAAGAAGAATAATCTCTTTATAACCCATTTTTGCCAGGTAAATGCTTTTATCTCCATTGTGTAGTCAGGGGGTTGGAACTCAAAGGGTTGGGTGACCTGCTCAGGTCACCAAAACAACCAGTAAAATGAAAACAATCTAGTTCCCTGGTTCAGTATAGATGCAGTGGGATCAGCTTCCTTTGAGGTGGTGTAGTTCTGTTTTGCTGAAATAACTGTTCACTATTATGAAAATAAGTGAGATTAAACTTTTTTCTTGAAAGAAAGAAAAAAAAATTGTTCTTGCTTCTTCTGGCCAGAGCAAGGATTTAATCAAAGCAGTAGTATTTTTATAACCAGGAATAGTGTAAAAAAGGAGAAGCAATTATAAAAAGTTTCCATTGAGAGTGCGGGATTTCTGGTTAGTACTGGCTGCATTGTGTCCTACTGACATGTACACCACACCCTAAAATCCCTGGTTTGTGTCAGTTGTGGGCCTGCATGATGGGGAAACTTGGTCACCTAAGATTGTAAGCAAGGAGAAGAAAAAGGTGACTTTCAAAGCTGCTGCTGCTGCAGGACAAGGTTTGTCATGAATTGCATGGGATGTTCTGCTGTATGGCAAAAGTGTGTATGATGGTATCTAGAAGAGGTACAGAAATAGAAACAGCAGGAAAGCTCTGAAGGTCAGAATATGAAGTTGAGTGTGATGCTGACAGCTAAGATTCATTAGAACTTATCTGTTAATCTTTTAAATAACATATCTCCAGCTATCTGTTCTGCGTCTCTGCTCAGTTTTTTCCCAGAGTTTTATTACAGATTACCAGACTGGTAGAAGAGTATCCAAGCAAGTGAGAGGCCAAGTTTTCAGAAAGAATTGAGGGCAGATGTTTAACAGAAAACAGCAGCTGCACAAGAATTATCAGTTCAGCTTGCCTGTATGGAAAACAAACTGCAAAGCCACACCAGCTTCCAAAATAATTGCTTGCTTTTTCTATTTTTAAATTGTTTTTGCTACAGTAAAGGTTAGTCCCATGTTGCCCAAGTAGCAGAACATAATTTTCTGTAGCTTTCTGCTTGACAAATGGCTGCCCTCGCAATATGTGGGTTTGCACCCTGGCTGCTCCAGTGCAAGCTATTCCCTGAGCAACCTGTTTCTGGCCCCTACCAGAGGCAGGACATCAGTCTGGATGGACTGTGCAGTAACCCTGGGTGGTAAGTCTGGGTTCACCTATCCTGCTTCTTAGCTGTCCTGTTAACTGTTGTGTTTTTCCAGCCACTAAGCTCCCTCTTCCCTAGAAATGTGAAGGACTCAAATGATGGGAAAACGGGCAGTTCGGTGTCCCTGGAGGAAAATAGCCAGAAACACCCAGGTTAGAGATAGGGGTCAGGTATCAGGACAAGCTTGTCCTGATGAAAGCCTCTCAGGCTTTTCAAGCAGTGCAAAGGGGGCCGACAGCTAAAGTCTGCAGATGTTTGGATTCCCACAATGTTCGTGGGGATCAGCCAGGGTTAGGTTGGACCTATATAGCTCTACCTTGCATTCTGCTCTCTGCATGTATAGGGGAATTTTGGCAGTTAACCTAAGTCACAGCTTGCTCTGGACCCAGGTGTCTGTCAACCTGGGGAAAACTCTTCTAAAATGGCTCTAATTTGGGCTAATAGCTAAAAGGATTTTGGATCAGCAGTAAAATCCTATGGCAGAGAAGGGAGCACAACTCCACATGTCCTTTCCCTAGTACGTTTTCGAATGCAGAGAGCTGATGGAGAAGAAAGGTTGCTCTGATCCTGATCGGTTGCTTAAATGATCTTGTGACAGGAGGAGGAAAAAGGCTTTTGAAGGAAGATGTTACTCGGAAATTGTGGAATCCTACAGAGAAAGAGGCTCAAGGGCTCTTGCTGATCTTTAACACATGCTATCTCGCCTGTAAAAGCCTTTGGCTTGAAGGGACCTCACCTGACTCCAGTCCCTTGGCTAAGAAATTCAGTTTTTTCAGCTCTTTCTATAGTCAATAATGAAGACAGGGAAGCACCTCCAGAGACAATTCAGCCAGTCTCTTAGTTTTTAGAAAGAGCCTAGGGAGATTGTGTCTTTACTGTAGATGATTTACCATAGATGAATATAGATAAGATATACATACATATTCACATAGGTATCATATACATACTATACATTCTTATGTATTCTATATGTAAGGATATGGCTGAACCTGTGCTGTTAGTCTCTGTCACAAGTCCAAGGGAGCAACCATAGTTCTTTATACAGAATTAGAAATTTAAGCTGGCCCTGGAAACACATTGCTGCTTGATAGACATGAGGAATGGGCTTTTCCTTGCAGGAAGAAAAATTCTTTCTCACTTCCCTTCTGCTTCTGACTGTAATGCTAGGCTCATTTCTCGCTGTGTAAGCTTGCTGTTCATCTTTTCTTCTTTTTGCATATTGCAAACAACTGCATATTTCTGAAATAAAACAGTCAAAATTTTACATCCATGTTATTACTCAATTTTCTGCCAAATACCTAGCAGCAATGTGTGGTACTTCCCTCTTCAGCCCATTGCATCTTCCATAGTGGGTCTCTGGGCTCACAGAGACTTTGGGTTTTCTAACACAGAAGCAGCTTCCTTAATTCTACATTCTGTATTAAAGCAA